CCCCCCCCCCAAGAATCACAGAAAATATACAAAAGATAATATGCCAATTTTAAAAGTATATTCAACACATCTGTGTCAGAGTCAGATTCTAATATGAAAGTGACTAAAAAAAAAAAAAGACACCCCCCCAAACCAGTTTTAATTACATAAACTTACCATACAAGGGTTCACAGTGAGTGCACTCTTGATGAACTGAAAAAGCAGAATGCCAGGCTCTTTAACTATACTCTTGGGCTCAGGTTCAATTTCAGTGTTTTGAGAACCAAATCCGCTGATTACCCATAGGTGATAGCCTTCTGCACCCCAGCTCTTAGAGAAGGAGGGCGAGAAAGAAAGAAAAGAGGGGGAAAATCAAAACAATAAAAAGTTTGTTATCCTTTCCTGGCTTCAAATATTCAAATTCTGAAATAACCAACAACAGCATGTCCTCCAGGAAAAATAGCCAATCAGCATTTCACTTTATGTTAAAATAAAGGAGGTCATGAGAAGTGGGTGCTAGTAAGTCATACAAGAAATGGAGGTATATTTAGGAAATACAATGGTCTCATTTCACTATGGCACTATATTCACAATGATGATGGGCTTGCTGGACACATCTAAGCAAAACCAAATAAAATACTAAAAGTTGAACAGCCTCCTGATTGAAAAACAAAACACACAAAACCTTTTTTTCAAAGCAAGAACTGCGTAAGATTTTGCTGAGGCTAAAAGAGTTTTGTGATTTTATCACACCAACATGAGGAAAAATTCAAATTTTCCACACTATACCATTATTTATAGAAAGAACTTACCATAGAGTTGATCTTAAGGGGATCTTTTTTGGTGCCATCAGACCTATAACTAAGAGTACAGAAACTTAATTAAAAGAGTCTTCTAATTATATATAATATTTTGCTTTAAGTTTTTAAAATATTAAATTGATTTTGTTGCTTCAAAATAGAAATACATAATAATGCATGAACTAGGAGACTGCTGGTTAATATGCACAGGTCTATCACTGAGGCACAGCCTTCCAGGTCCTAAGTAACTTCCTGGCAGGGTCATGCACTTTGGGAACATGTGTTTGTTTTGTCAGGACTGAGGCTCGTAGTAGTGTAAGAAGTGGGCAGACGGAGGAAACCACTCCTATCAATCCAGTGGGATAATCTACATTAACCCAATGGGATAATGTAATTTTCATTTCCTAGTAGTTACTTATATGCATGGCTCACCACTCTTATTAAATAATAAGCTACTTGAAGAAAACCATATTTAGCCTTGAATCTAACATGCTATCATATACACAACAGGGGTTCAATAAATAACTGCATTTTTATTGAATAAACATAAAGTTTTAAGAGGATGGATGTTTGCATAATCAATACATTCTGAAAAAATTAATTCCAAACCTTACAAATTGTTTTGGGGTAAGAGGCAAATAAGGAAAAGGATATCTGTATGACATAAAGTTTCTCTCTCTGTGTGTGTGTGTGTGTTGTCTGAGAGACAGTGGAATTATTTTATCTAAAATTTGTCTTTATTGACTTACGCAAAATCTCCTCCAAGTGTACAAATCAGCTGAGCTCCAAACACACTCCATAAAGAAAGGCCTCCATATTCCCAGGTCACTATTACAACACTATTGTCAGGAGACCATCTGACCAATTTAACAGCTCCTGTTTTGTTCCATATATCTGTTAAGAAATTGTGAGAGGAATTAAAAATAAATAATTGCTTCAGAAAGAGTTATTTTTTAGTCTGTATTTTCAAGATGAAATAAGCAGAAAGGCATGTCTACTTCAAATATTGAGATGAATCTGGCTCATTGAGGGTTATTTAAAAACTGTAAGGCCATTAGCCTTGACCTGACCTAAGCAGAACAAATTCAGTGCCCAAGTTACTTACAGGAAATGAAAGCAGTTTAGGGACACTATCAGCTTGAATAACTACAACTGTGTATATAGCCTTAAAAGTGTTTGGCTTTGGCCCTGGCCAGTGTGGCTCAGTTGGCTGAACACCATCCCGTGCATCAAAATATCATCGTTTCAATTCCTGGTCAGGGTACATGCCCAGGTTGAGGGTTTCATGCTCAGGAATGGTTTCGGTCCCTGGTCGGGGTGCAGGAGGCAACTAATGTGTGTGTGTGTCTCTCTCTCAAAATACACATTACTCTGTTCTTATAAGTTGCTGCAAAAACTGTCCTTACCATGAGATAATTTTCAAGAGAAATATAGTGATAATAGTATCTGTTGGACTCAACGTAAACTATTAGCTACAGGTAGTTCACAGTTGCAACATCAGGTTGAACTACATTTATTTTGATATTGTTGTATCTTTGTAAAGACAGGTTTTTAAGAGTTGCTGTAAAAAAAGTGAAGTGTGTGAAAATCAATGTGGAACAGGAAATGTGGGCAATTGTACCCAATCTGACTCCAAGGGCAGTTTGAGAAACTGTACCATGTCCAACAGGCACAGACATCCTGTTAGTAAAAAATAGTAATGAAGAATAAAATTAAAATATTTTTCTCTTCATGTACATGCATTATTTTTTGAAAATGCTACAAGGTTGCTAGGAGTCACCTAATAAGTTGTTTAGAACTAGCTACTTAATCAACAGAATTTTTGGTATTTCTTTTAACATAGGGGTAAAATTATGGAGACACTAAGGCCAGAGTGAAACCAAGAAATAATGCCAAATTTGGAAAAGATCTTACATGCTATATATGTGGTAGACACAGTTGGTTGTTTAATCCAACATCTAGTCCCATCCTTGTTTTCCCTTGCCCACTTCTACCATAAAGGCTTGGAAAAGCCCACAGAAGCTATGTGACACAATTATGGCCAATTAGATGTAAGTGGAAGATAGTTGGAGCAGGTAGTAGGTGGAGTTGCTTCTAAGAAAGATTTTGCCTTCCTAACCCCTTCCCCACCAAAACAAAATTTTTTTAAAGGTATGATCTGTTTCTCTTTTCTTCTTGACTCAAATGCAGAAGTAGTGTTTGGAGCTTAGGAGCTACCTTGTGGAGAAAAGGCCAAATGAATGCCAGCAGCAGCTTACCTCTGGATTTCTTGCTATTTGAGAAAATAAATCCTATTTGTTTAAGCCACAGTAAATTGGGTTTTCTGTTAGTTTCCATCAAAAGCTTTTCCAATGACATAGACTTTAAACTTAATCCTGTGGACTGGATTCATTAAAGAGTCACTAACGGGTTCAGAAAGAGACTTTTGTTTATTGTTGTATATCCAGCACTTAGGCAAGTGTCTGGCCTACAGTAGGTACTCAGCAAGTACTCGTTGAATGAATAAATTGAATTAGAAGAAATAAACTAACAGAAGCAATGAAATCACATCAGAGAATAGGGCGAAGTCCAGAGGGACATAGGGGCTGAAACTAAGTAAGCAGAGAGAGGACTAGATGAAGGAACAAAAGCAGTATCCCTGGAGCCTTTCTAGTTACACAGAAATCTTGGATCACATAAAATATTTTTGTATGTTTCAATAATACTTGACCTACATAGCATGCATCATTTGAAATTAGCATTCACTACACGTATCTGTACATTAAAAATGTTAAAAGAAGAAGAAAAGGAGACTCACCAGGGTATTGTTTTGCTGTTAACTCTAGTCTGTGAGACAGCAGCATAGCTCCAGTGGTGTTATCTATTGTATAAACCTGAACAGAACCACTGTACAAAACAAACAAACTTTTAGTGAGAAAAGATAAATACAAATACAAAATATAAATACAAATATAAAAAGAGTTATTATGGGAATTCTTATGTACTGCTAGTAGGAATGTAAACTAGAACAAAACAATTTTGTAAATAATTTGTAGTCACCTCATAAATTTGAACAAACATATTCTGTAATTGAGCAATTTCACCTCTAGCTATATCCCAGAATATCCTTGTCATGTATAATGTTCATTATAGTATTCTGTATAAGTGCAAAAAAATGGAAATCTGAATGTTCAGCAATAAGAGAAAGAAAAAATGAACTATGGTATAATCATATAGTAACATACCATATAGCATTAAAAATAAGTAAAATTTAGTTACATGCATAGATATATAGTATAATTAATTCTGTTTCTATATAGTAAAAAGCATTCAAAACATAGTAGTTAAATATACTTGTGGTAAAAATGTAACAAAGACCTAATGCAAACTAACTGCAGATGGGTGACTGGGCTGGTAGAGAAGCTGGTATAAAGAAGGGGGCAAGCAGTGGTTTCGTCAGTACTGATAATATTCTTTTTCTCATGTGAGATGGTAATTCATACAGATTTTAATTTTATTTTTATATCCTGTTATTTTTTTTAAGTTTTTGTTTTTATAAAAATATTTTTATTGATTTTAGAGAGGAAGGGAGGGGGATAGAGAGGTAGAAACTTCCACAGGCTGCCTCCTGCAGGCCCCTCTACTGGGGAACGGAGCACGAGACCCCAGGCAAATGCCCTCACCTGGAATTGAACCGGTGACCTCTTGGTTCATGGGTCAGCGCTCAACCATGAAGCCACACTGGCTGAGCTATTCCATTACTTTTTAAATCTATACACATGATACATGCTCTTTTGTGTATACAGTATATATAATTATTTCATTTAAAATATCTTTACAAGGGTCAAATTTACGAAGGATCAGAAAGCAGAACAAAATCTATCTTACTTCTAAAGTACATTTAGGAACTAAACTTAATGATCATTTTTTAAAAAAATTTCTGCTTATGAAGTTTTCAGATCAAAAATTTGACAAAAATACTGTTTGTAAAATATTTTAACTCCAAGGCTGCTCTGGCACACTTTAGAACGACACTGGCTTGGGACTGCCAGAATATCCTGGCTCTTATGCACGCTCCTCTGTGGCAGAAGTCAGATGGCTTCCCCACAGCAGCTCTGACCCATTTCCAGACAGGTCCAACTCTTCTAAGGGTTAGGAATGGGACAAAACAAAATACCCGCAATAACAGGCCACCTGAAGCTATCCCACAGCTCATTAACACTGATTTTAATTCTTTTTTCTCTCTCCATTTTATTTCAAATAATTTTTTTTGTCATGTTCTTCAAGTTAATATTAATCTTTTCTTCTGCAATGCTTCATTTGGGTCTTCTTTATATCTTTGATGTTTCAGTTTAATACTCAAAAGGGATTCTCTACAGATCTCTGGGAGTTCTCTCTTTGTGCCACTCTCTCTTTGGTGTCTGTCCCGTGAGCCTTAGCTGTTTTGCTTTCCCCAGACTCTCATTTCCAGGTGCTCAACTCAGGGAATCTGCCAGGCTCTATCTTCCAACCTCATGCTATGCCCTGGAAACCCTCAAAGTAACTAAAGCTGGGGCATTTGTGGAATTTTCTTATTTTGTTTCTCATCTTTCAGGGATCACTGTCTTTAGTTGCCTGATGTCCTATTTCTTGAATTCAAAACACCTATTTTATATTTTTTGTCCACTCTCTTGTTTTGTTCCCAAGGGGGAGATAAAATCTGATCTGTAATTCCATCTTAGTCAGAAGCCAAATGTCTAAATATATCTTTCCAGACTATCTGCCCAATCAAACACCTGGCGGAAAGACAACACTGAGTGCCTAGCAGGTTTTTGGTTTACATCTGACAAACTGTCAAGTGCTAACTCTGTAACTCTGTGTTGCTGAGCTCTAACAAGTCAGTGAGGAGTCCAAATATTTCTAATATAAGAAATAGGTGCTAAGTCAATACTTATAAAAACAGAAAATTAACCCTTCAAGTATTCTGTAGTGCCTATGCTCTTTAAATTATTTTTCTTTCCATTTCTCAGCCCATTGTAAGAGAAAAGTTTTTCATTAAAAGACACTACATACTAATCTCAAAGCAAAAAACATATCTCTATAATAGAGACATGGCTATTATCACCGTAAGTGATCAAATTTGGCAGCATTAATCCTGGGACAACTTGACATTACCACTACACAATGCCATAGAAAGTACACATCATGTGTATGGCAAAAGTGTTTTACCAGAATCTAAAAAAACCTTTAAATATAAAGGTAAATGTTAGGTTGTAAGACTCATCCCCTGCAAAATGGCATCCTAAAAGGAAGCTGGCTTCTTATAGAATTCAAGGACACAGCAATAGCCTAGTGTTCAAGGCAATTAATCCTGGTAAGTGATGGCAGATCAGAGCTAGAAGCCACTAGTCTGCTGAGTCACACAGCTACAGTCACAAAGCTCACACCCCAGCCCATGGTCATGACAGAGGTCTGGTACACTCCCCACCAATGAAAACTGAGACGACTGAAAGGCTAAAGGCCAAGACTCTATCTTCATTATCCTGGGGAAGGGCTATAGTACCTCCCCTGGATTCTTACCTCTGGCCTTGATAGACCCCTGGGTGCTACCCTGAATGTAGGTGATATGAAACTGTGCATCTGCCATTGCTCATGTCTCTGTGAGCTTCCTAGTCATTGGCTGTATTGGCTCAACAAGAACCAGTTTCAAAGTTCCAGTCGTTCCAGTCATTCCAGGTGTTAGAAAAACTAATTAAATGCCATTATGAAGAATACAAATTTAGAATGTAGGGCAATCTATAAACAACTGACATGGACTCTTAAAATAGTTAATGTCAAAATAAGAAAAAAAAGATGTAAGGATTGGTTTGGCAAAAATGAACTAAAGAGAAATAATAACCAAATATAATTCATGAATTTTAATTGATTGTGGCTGGAACAAAGGAGCTATAAAAGAAATTTTGGTTAATTTCAACATGAACTGGGTATCAGATCTTAGTAGGGATTTATCATTAATTTTCTCATGTGTGATAAAGGTATTGGGTTTTTATAAAAGAATGTCTCCCTTTATTGGAAATCAAGAAATAATGTAAGTGTCCACTAACAGCAAACCAGGTTATGGTATATTCATACACTGGAACACTATTTACAAATCAATCAAAAACTATTTCAGGCAAAGAACATGGATAAATTTCACAATGTTGACTGAAAGAAGCAAGATAGGTAACACAGAATGTAATTCTATTCATATAAAGTTCAAAATCAGGTGAAAATAAATTATGCTCTTTAAGAATGCACACATGGGTGGTAAAACTACGAAGGCAAGGACGTGATTATCCAAAAGACAGAAAATTGGTTACCTTTAAGTGAGTCAAGGAAGGGACAGAAATTGTGATTAGGATGTAACAGGGGTAAAACTTATATTGGCTGGCAATGTTCTATTTCTTGACCCAATTGTGAACAGATATGTATTTGTACTAAAATTATTTGTAAAACTGAATATATGGAATATGTACTTTCCTGTATGTTTTTACTTTACAATATGAAAGTTAAAAAGGATATTACAAATTTTATGACAATAAATTTGACAGTGTATATGAAAAAACACCAATTCCTAGAAAAATATAAACTGCCAAAATTACTTAGGAAGAGAAAGAAAATCTGAATCTTCTTAAATCTATTCTTAAACCTGAATTAAAGCAGTAAGACAAAAAATTCCCGAAAAGATAATTTTAGACTCAGATGGCTTCATGATAAATCTGACCACATATTCAAAGACGAGCAAAGAAGAGAAAGAAAGGAGCAAGCCCTCCCTCAACTTGTTTGTGAGATGAGGAGAGTTAGACACCAGAAGAGTAAGAAAAATTATAGGCAAATGTACTCATGAGCAGATATTTTAAAATTTTAAATAAAATGTGACCAAATCAAATCCATGAGTATGAAAAAAAATATTTTTCTTCTTTCTTGTACTAAGTTAAATTTACGTATATTTCTACATTTACCATCTCAGTAAAAAGCAGTGTGCTGAGGAAGAAGATTCCTCCCTTTACAAAGGGATTGCTGAGAGTGTAATGAGATGGGGATTTATACATGTGTATTATTTACACTAAAAGATACTCTGACACTTGTAGCTGGAGATTATACTAGCTGCATGCTCTACAGAAACACTGAGTCTCATTTTTAGGGCAAAACGGAACTTTGTATTTAATAAAGTTTTGAAGGCTAAAGAGCACTATACATGCTGTAAAGCATTACTGTAAGTAGCTGATACAGGGTGAGACAAAGATTGGTTTACAGTTGGTATGGAAAATAATACAAGTTAATAAAGAATAATACAAGAATAAACTCTGTTTTGTGTATTTACAACTGTAAACCTACTTTTGCCCCACACAGTATGATCTTTTCACTTGAGCTAAAATATAAGCCTGACAGTCAGGTATCTTTGCTGTTTTGTAATGTATCCCAAGCGCTTATAACTGTGCCTGGTACATGGCAGACACACAGATATTTGTTGAATAACTGTATTCTATTTTACTTCTAAAACATTATTTGAATTAAAGCAAGAACTGATTTTATGTATGAGCTTTAAATCTGCTCCTTAACTGACGCATCCACTGATTCAAAGATGATGTCAACACTAATGTCTTAAAAATAAAGGATTACAGTTAAAAAATAAAATATCTTCCTGATCCTGTTAAACAATAACCTAAATTTTAACTGACTTAATTTTTTAAACTTGTAAACTCAATTTCCTACCACCGAAGAAAAGCTCACTTTTACAAATTAAGATAATCTCCAAAATCTGTCTTTTAGATTTGTTTGTCCCAATCTAATAAAATACTGTTAGATTTTATATTAAGGCTCATTCATCAATTACAAGGAAATGACAAAGTTTACAAGTGTATTAGGAACATCCGATGTTTAAAAAACATTATTTTGGGCAGTAACACTTAAAATGCAGAAGTCTTTATCAATTACCTTGCACAACCAAATGCCATTAGTCGGTACTTGTTATTTACTGCTACACAAGTTCCGTCAACAACATCTTGTGGCCAAACTCCATGAAGATGCTATAATAAAGGAAAGCAGTTAAGGCTTAAAAAGTGTTCTCCAAAATATGCTGTAAACAATATAATTCTCCTTCAATAAACAGTTTCACAGGCTTTATCATATTTTGTTTCAACTGGATTAAAAAATATTCCATCAGGGTTACTGAGTTTTCTCCCTTAAAACATGAATTTCATTAACTGTTTCAATAAATATTCCCCAAATGAGCTCAGTCCAGTGCTAATCTATATATAAAACACTAAAAAATGGATATTCGATCTCCAAATTAAACGACTTTTTCCTGTTGGGATACAAACCTCCTGATAGCACAAACTGCATCTAAGTTGCTCACTATTATTATTCTTGTGGTCACCTAGCACACTGTGTTCAACTTCCCAACCAGTGGGAAACAGTATATTTTATTTGGTATACTATTTTTTAAAAAATATTTTGTATTAGTTTCAGGTGTACAGCATAATGATTAGATAATCATATACTTTACAAAGTTCTCCCCCTGATATTTCCAGTACCCAACTGGCACCATACACCATTATTATACTACTACTGGCTGTCTTCCCTATGCTCTTCTTTACATTCCCATTATTTGGTATGTTCTTAGAAGCAAGTCATGATTTGTCAATTGCTTACTATTCTCTATTATTCCTTTGCTTCATAGTAGAATGGTGAATAGCATGGTTCTGACAGTCTGTTATCTCAGGTGTACCCAATCACTTGCTGAAATGATTATTTCACCTTTCCAAGCTTCAGTTTTATCTGTAAATTACTTACCTCTTAAGAGTGTTTTGAAGATTAAATGAGAATATATATACATGTAAACCACTTAATATAATGCCTAGCATTCAACAAATTAAGCATTCAATAAATGAATGACACTATTATGAAACTTATATGCTATTTTATACTGAATACAGATATAGAATAGACTCGGCTATATTGCCTGTTTTTTTGTCAAATCAAGAACATCTTATATTATAAATTCTATGTCAAAGCTCATTGTGACAGTTTATTAAGCACAAAAAATAGCACACTAGAATATACACTTTATTTTTAGATGATCCCAGTAGTAAACATTAGAAAATCCAATATAATTACAATTCTTTTTGAAATATACTACCACAGAATTTAATTACCAAATGAGCTATATAACCTACTATCTAAACATGGAATATTTGCTTCTTTTTGTGGTAATTTTATTCATTTTTAAATTTTAATAATAAAACTGGCATTATTTCTTCAGATGACTGCTTAGCTTGAAATTCATTCCTGTAACAAGTATTTTTCAAGTGCCCACTATTCACCAAGCACTGCTCTAGGAGCTAAGGAAATGGCAGGTATTCAAACACACCCAAATCCCTACCTGTATCCCTGCCTTACATCTGTTAGGAGGCTGACAAGTTAAAACAATTATCCAGTATACTGGAAGTTGGCAAATGCTACAGGAAAAAATAATACAGCAATTATGGGGAAGAGGGAGTATGGGGGAAGGATGTAATATTAAGTGGTTTTCCCTATGAAGGTGTGTTTTGAGGAAAGTACTGAGATACATTAAGTACAAAGGCCCTTTCATAGACAGCATTTCTGGCATGTTCAAAAGAACATAAGAGAGGCCTGTGCAGAAGGAGTGGAGTGGAGGAAGAGGAGGTAGAAGATGAGGTAATAGATGGAATAGGAAGCCAGACTTTGAGAGTTTTGAAAGCTACTATAGGAACTTTGGCTTTCTCTCCAATTTAGGTATCAGGAATCATTGGATGCCTTTATTTTTCAACCTTTTCTATTATTAATTATAAATACATTAGAGAAAAACACACAAAAAAATGTACATCTCAATAACATCACAAAGTAAACACTTGTAGAATTACCATTTGGGCCAAAAATTATCAGTACCCAAAAGTCCCCAACAGTGTCCCTCCCAATCAATACACCTTACCCTCAACACAAAAGTAACCAATATTCAGACTGACATGGCAACCACTTCCTTCTTTTCCTTTAAACCATTACCACTTAAACATGCACCCATACAAGCTCTAATTTAGAAATGCCTATGTTTTTATTTTTTCCTTTAAATTTACATAAAATAGAATCATAGCACACATCTTTTTGTGTCCAGCTCCTTTTACCCAACGTGTTTGTGAGATCCATCCTTGTTGATGCACCCGGCCTTGTTTGTTCCTGCTCACTGTATCCTCAAACACTGGGCTCTCTGGGCCTCTGGCCTTCCCTAGCCTGGTCATTCTTTACTGTCTAATAAGCTCTCCAAAACCTTTAAGCACATTTAAAACAAATATTTTTTCTTCAGCTTCTCTAATTGTCCTCAGTAGACTTTGCCCTAATCATACAGTCCTACTGAAAGGGTTCTAAGCAGAGGAGTGGCATAATCTGACATATTTTAACTTATCTGTTAAATATATTAAACAATGCTGCAGAGAATTTTTACAAAACACTTAAATAATGTCTAATATAAAGATGCCACTAGTGTGTTTCCTAACTACCAGTAATACATATGTATTGTTTTCTTATAATTTAGACATTTTATTTATATTTAATAATGTCCATCTATTTTCCATTATATTTTATTTTTTTTATTTATCTTTATTGTTGCAAGTATTACAGATGTCCCCCTTTTCCCCCCACTGACCTCCTCCATTATACTTTAACCCTTAATTGACTAGAAAAATTTCTTTAACCAAGTACTAATAAAAATTGATACTCAGAAAAGTCAATCACTTTTTCAGTTCTAATATTTTTGTCTTCAGTAAAAACATTTAAATCCCAAACATAACTATAAATATATTTGTACCTTGTAAAAAAAAAAAAATTAGGCTCTTCAAAAGCTTATTTTTATTCTTATTTACATACTGACACATTATTACAAGTGTACTATTTAGTACCTTACTACCTGAATAAAGATGGTAGGGGAAAATAGTTATTAGAAACATTAAAGCTGATACCATGTGGAAAAAAATATAACCTCAAAAAACAAACAAACAACTCCCCTCAAAACTCAAAATCCTTTCCAGTTAAAAAGAGCACAATGAACATAAATATTTAGCTTCTCTATTGTAACAGAAAACATTTTTTTCCAAAAAGCATAAACTGGCAAGTACAAAGAATAGGAGATGAGGTAGTATCGGAAAATTCTGGAAGCTGGAAAGTATAAGGATGGGTAAAATCCTTAATCGGCAGCAAAAAATGTTGAGAAGCAGCTACATTTACATTATAGGGCTCACAAAAGGCTTGGGAAGTTAGATGTCTCTGAAAGGCTGAACTGAAAGCAGGATTGGTTCAAAGCCTGTTTACGCAGCAGCTGGGTCTTCCAGGAGTACCCTCCCAATTTGAGCTGCTAAGAAACATTCCACCTCCACTAACAGAAAACTGGAGCTTTTTCTTTGGAGAAAAACAAACAAAAAAACTCCAGTGGTCTCTGGACCACAATGAAAACAGGGATAAGTAAAAGTTTACATCCTGAATCTGGAGCCTCTAGTCTAACTCTTCCACAACTTAAATCCTAGCCAGGTATATATTTCCTGGAAAAGACTGCAGGACTCTCCTCAAATGAACTCTGGATACAGAAATGGAAGGGAAGGAAAAAATTCAGTTAGTTCACCATATAGTAAAGACCTTACTCAACCAGACCCCACAGAGCTTACCAGTGAATCCAGAATTTTATTTTGGGTCTCTATCACAGCAATCAAATTCATAAATTAACTAATCATGTATGAATTAATTGTGAAATAATCACACACAAATAAAGGAGCAAAGGAAGTCCTCCAGATGATGGAAAGCCCCAAATACAACTGTATTAAAGGTGTGTATAGCGAGCAAGCAGTCCAGACTGGAGCAGGCCAGAGGATCCAAGAGAAATGCCTTCAAGAACATGAAATGGATAGAACACCAATGCATTTGAAAGAACTGAGAGGATATTTATACAACCAGCAGACAGTTTGGGGTTGAATTAGTGGTAAATACATAGAAACTAAGCAAATATAAAAAAACTAACAATTATTAATTGCAAGAGGGAGGGAAAATCTGCAGGAAAAGAAAAATAATCATAACATCCTACATGGGGCAGGTACTAATATAAATATACAAAGCAACAGCCATTTAAATAATAAGCAGAATCTAATGAAAAACACAATTGCTATACTGGGAAGTACATGGTGAAAGCAGGGAAGAGGGAAGTATATGGCCATTTTCCACAGCCTAAAAACTAAAAATTAAAAGAAATACACAGAATAGTGAAGATAAATAGCAAAATAAACAGTAAAAGATTAAAAAGTAGTTGCCTATCACAAAGAAAATTGGATGTGAAGAGAGCTGGGAGGGCAGGAGCTGTCATTTTTCTTCAGCATGTCTAATAGATAATTATTGGTCTACTTATACTATTTATATATATAGTTTTGGCTTAAAATTAACAACAAACCCTAAGATCATAAATTTAAAAATGGGGGAGGGAATTTAGTAACACAGATTATAAATTAATGCACAATAAAGAAAATAAACATTCAAAGCCTATAAATCATACCTCTGCAGTAAATCTACTGGACACTGGTGTAATAAATCCAACTTTACCATCGTTAAACACCACAGCAAACCCATCAAGAGTGGCACAGTATTCCATGTCTCTGATGTGCACATCTGCAAAGCCCAGGAATGAACCTGCTAATGATAAAAAAGTACATGAAATATGAATATAAATATAATAAATAATTCCCTTACATTTTTGCTTACGAGCCCTGTAAGGACAGTTAAAAGGGCAAAACGAATGACCTGAAGACACTAAACAATGTAACTACTCCTTCCTACTAAGATACACACACACACCCCTCCCTTGCATAATTAATTCCAAAGTAGAAAAATCAATGATCATCCATAGAAAATATCTCACTAGATTATATCAAGTAGTAAACATCTGGTTCTACTCCATGCAGAAAGTTTAACTACCTCTAGATGACTGCAGATCTACTGAAAAGGGTACTGTGCAAAGATTAATAGCTTTCCTTCCATTTGTCATTCCTTCCCAGTGAATAAGATGAAGAAGTCCATCAGAAGTAGCAACCAGGAGATCTTCCAGCACAGACTGCAAACTGTAGGGAAGTAAGCAATTTATTATCAGTTACCTTTTAAGAGAGCATCCTGGGAAATCAATAAGTATGAATGTAATTGCCCTAGAGAATATTCATTCAGAGAAGATAATGAAACCACTTACAAAACCGTCATTTACTTACAACTTAGTTATATAGTAGCTTTATCTATGTATAATTCAATCTAGAATCAGAAATTCTGGAAGAAATGGAAGACTATGAGCAACAACAGTCACAAATTTGATGAACTGAGTTAAAAACTACAAACAACAAATTAGAAGATGGAAGGGTAAGTGATAGCTGACAGGAAAAGAGGCAGAGAAACCATAAAAAAGGACAACTAATGAAAGGATGACAATCTGGAGCCATGAGTACAGAGTAACAATCCTCTAGCCCTGTCCAGCATAACTTTCACCAGTGATAAAAACGTTCTGTATCTGTACTGTCGAGCATGGTAGTCACTAGCCACACATAATAACTGCACCCTTGAAATATGGCTAGTGTGACAGAAGAACTGAATTTTAAATTTTGTTTACTTTTAACTAATTTAAATAAGTTCACTTGATTAGTGGCTACTGTATTGGAGATCACAGCTCTCAAACACTGTATTTCTAGGGTTATCATGAGTCTCAAATTCATTTATTGAACAAACATTTATGAAGCCTATGTTCTGTGGCAGGTACTATGCTCTCTGTTGGAGATTCCAAGGTCAAGTTTCTCCCTTCAGAAGACCTCTCAGTTGATTAAGTACTGAAAAGTAATTGTGTAGTATGATCTCAGCACTTATTGATATTTGCAACAAGATTTAACATTTACTTACCTAATAGCAAATAAATGCCTACTGGGTTTACTATTATATGCCCAGGTCCTGAGGCAATGCTAGTTATATATGTGGCAGTAAATGTTTGTCGGAAGTAAAAAAAAAAAAAGGGAAGGGGAATCCATAAATGAAACTGCAAAAGTACTGGCAGAGAGAAAGAAAAAGAGAACAGGGGAAGAACCAGTGGAAATTAGTATCAAGAAAGCCAAGGAAATAAGATGGATTTTAAAAAGAGTACTCAAGAGTATCAGAGTAGAAAAAAGAATGATAAAATGTTATGTGTCTATCACATATACTCTAATATACACTATTAAATTTCCTTTCATACTTAAAGTTTAGAGTATAATTCATAAACATTTAAATCCATAATGGTAAAAAATGTTTTTAATGCTTTAATTCTTAAATTAAACCTTCAATTCTTTGGGAAGCTGAGTTCAATGACTCATTCCCCTGCGGATCTAAGACAATAAAGAATTTACTATATTTTCTTCCAAACTAAAAATACTGAAAAAATGTGACATGTCCACCACTTGAACACCAGAGCATCTGTAATGAATTAAAATTCCACGTTTTAAAGTTCACCTTTTAAAGTATTATATATTCTTTGATTTCAAATTTATATTTTTGTGATAAAATTTATATGTAGCATGTGGTAAGCAGAATACAAAAACTTATGTTTTAGAACTGCTACTACATGTCGAGAGAGGCCGGTGAGTAGTACAGCCATTGTTTTACCAGTGATTTTCATTCAACAGGAGTCAGCCTAGATTTTTTCAAACTATATTTTCTACCTCTCCTTTGTGCCTATCTTCCTAGAATTACTACATATGACAAGGTTATCCTGCAGTATTTTAACTGCCTGCTAGACAAAACCAGAATTCAGAATTTCTATATCATCATCCCCACAATGCTGTAACAAAATATGACTACATGTGTGAGTAAACAGGAAAATGTAACTCAGAGTGAAGAGAAAAATTAATCAACATAAATAGATACATAGACAATCTCAATGTTGGAATTAAAAGATAATGACTTTAAAGTAACTGTGATAATGATAAAAAAAAATCTATAGGAAAAGATATAGTCTCCTCATTTCATTGAAACTAAGCAAACTCATTTAACAAAGGCTGATGTCAGTTGTTAAAGTACTAAATTAAAGTTAGTAAATAGGTCCTGCTACAAGCCACTCAAGTGCCTGCCCACCACTGATTCCCTCCCTCACAAAGATCTAATTACTAAAGGATTAATTCTTGGCATCAGGGGATATGAGGACCCTGCACCAATAACCAATATTCCATGTGTTTTCATGCTGTACTGGTTTTTAAATATTTTGAAAATTACCTCTGGGTATAAGTACACGCAAAACCACATAAACATACTCTATATTCTCAGAGAGCCTCTCCAATCACTGACTTCGACATGGGCTTTATAACAGCTACCTGATATTCAAGAGGTTTTTAAAAAGTATATAATTACCAATTCTTAAATACACAAACATATTTAATACCTAACTAATATTAAATACTATATACTACATAGGACTTTCCTAAGTGGCTGGGATGGAGCAAGATATGGAATAAACTATGGTATTTATTAGCATTCATTACATGATATCAGTTAGTACTTTTTACCTTTCTATAACAAAGTCTGGATGCTTAACATTAATCCTATTCTTTTTTTCAACAAAAAATTTAAAAGACGGCAGTACTCTTGCCATCTTACGCCTATAAGCAACAGTGTAACCATTATCCATAACTTCATATGACTTATATTTTGGGTAGTGGGAGGGATAATAGTTGGTAATAAAGCCAAGTTTCATATCTTCTCATTAAATTCAAAATCAAATAGGAAATCTCTATAATATCCAGCAAGTGCTAATAATGTTCTTCTGAAATGCAATTATTTTACTGTAGCTTTAAGAGAAGACTTAAAGATTTCCAATCACCTAAATTTATAGATTAAAATGCAGCACCTGACAGGAATTCTTTGTTTAAAGGCTCTTTTTCTCTCATCTCCATGAAACACAGAATTTTTACCACCAGGTGGAGGTAGAACACCATGCTTGTACAGTTCCACCCGGTTTGGTACTCCCAGATATTCAAAATTCCTTATGCAACAAGTTACATTCTTGAAAAGAATCTAGAAGCGGAAATAAAATCTGAAGTAAAGGGTCAAAAAGTTTTTTGACCAAGGTGATGAATGACGTGAACTAAATCTTTTGTAACCCTGATCACATTTAAGCAAACAAAAACAAAAAGCATTCTTTTTCTATGAGAATATATAAAAAGATAGATTAAGCAAGGCAAGACAACAGCCATCCACTTGCATACAATTTCATTTAATATGTACCAGTATCTTTACTATAGTCTAACAAAATAGTGAAAGAAGCCTTTTATTAGAACTGTGAATAAGAATTCTAAAAAGAGGTATTACATTCTTATACTTCAATATATTTCCATATGACATCCAGACAATTCTTCATTTAGTAAGAGTACATAATAAAAAGTCTTTTTCCCAAAACTGTCCCCCACTCTGTTCTCATGCTCAGTTTCTAAGGTATTCTTCCAGAACAATACATAGTCTAACACCACCAGCTCCCTTTTAAAAACAAACAATAGCATTATCGTATAGAGTACACCTTGCCTTTTTGCCCAAAAATATATTTGGGAAGTTTTCTTCAGTAAAGAGTATCATCATTGTTTTTACAGATACATCTTATTCCCATTGTACAGATGTAAGAAAATGAATTTGCAGCTCCCTACTGACAGACATTTAGGTGGTCCATTTCATTTCCAGTATGTATTATTATATGTGCAAGACTAATGCCTAGAAGTAGAAATGCTAGGCAAAGGCCATGAACATTTGTAATTTTGATAGGTATTGCTTAATCAACTTCCATAAATATGGTATCAATTGTTTTAAGTTGCGTTTTTTTTTAAATTGATTTAGAGAGGGAGAGAGAGAAAAAAAACATCGATGTAAAAGAAAAACATCGATGTAAAAGAAAAACATCGATCAGTGGCCTCCTGTGCATGCTCCAACTGGGGATCAAACCCGAAACCGGGTATGTGCCCCAACTGGGAATGGAACCTGCAACCCTCCAGTTCACAGGACGACCCTCCAACCAACTGAGCCATACCAGCAAGGGCGATATGGTATCAATTTATATTCCCACCACCAATGTATAAAAGTTCTCATTTCCCTATCCCCTTCCCAAGACAATATGTTACCTAACTATTTATAATAAGTACCAGAGTCATTTATTTAATGTCCTAATGGCAATCTATTAATATATTAATTGGAATATGAAAAATAAAAACAAATTGTTTACATTCTCTGTCCATTTGTTCTACTGTGTCTTTTTCTTGTTACAGAAATTCTGTGTATTATGGAAACTGGCTTTTTGCAATATTCACTGTAAGTATATTTGCTTGTTTCCAGTTTGTGTTGACTTTTGATCTTACTTATGGTGTGTGTGTTTTTCTAAGCAGATTTTAAAAAAACTTTTACATAATCGAATTTATCAGTGTTTTCCTTCATAAGTTTACTTGCAGACGTTTTGACAGGAAGGTTTTAAAATATATTTTGTGTTAGAATACTTCTTTTACCAATTTTTCTCTTCATTTTCTTATAGCAAGTCTGGGCAATAGAGATAAGAACTGCTGGCCATTTTGATGCATAGAATGTTAGAATTCTACCATTATAACTTCATGCTTGTATATAACCAGGCTCAATAACAACCAAAAGGTTCTTGTGGGCCCAACTTTAACCCTGGATTCAGTTAAAAATAACTTTGTTTAAAAAAATAAAAAGAAACAAAAATAAATATTGTAATAAAAACTTTAAGTTAAAAAATACACTTCTGACAAGACTCACTCATCAGAGAACTAAAATGTCAGATGTGAAGCAATTAAGGAAATAAAGCTAAATTTTAGGTACAGTCATTTGTATTTTCTACCAATGGATAAAAAATAATTTTTGGTCTTTTGGTACTCTGGTCTTATCACAAAACCTTTACTGACACTTGGATCAGAAAGCTCAACTTTCTTCCAAGTGTACAAATACCCCCCCCAAAACTTATAAAGGCTATAGAAATGAAGGCACTTTCTTTTTTTCTCAACTTGTGTGATTTTTATCTGTATCTTTTTAAGTAACATGGACTATGTCGTATCATTCAAACATTCTAAATCTTACCAAAAATATGAACTTCTTAAATAACCTTAGAGTTGCTATACCCAATTTATGGGCTTTATTACAATAATTTAAATATAATAATGTACCTTCTATAAATTTTCACATTTTTATAAGGGTTAATCAATCATTTCTAGGGCTAAAAAAGTTATCCTCCATGAAAAGAAATCAACCTTTTTACTGGTCATATGATTAACCAACTACCTTGCCTACTGCCATCACAAAATACTATATTTAACCAAAGTACTGTACCTTGTAATGGGTGCTTGCAAATCCAGTATTTTCCTCATCTCTAAAGTTAATGCTGGAGCACACTGTTCTTCCTTAAAATGGGGTGTCCCCTTCATTTGTGGACTTCCTCTAAAAAATAGCAAATATAAAGGATTAAAGAAGAAATTGAATTCTTATTCACTCTGTGACTAATATACACCCAATTAAATAAAGTAAATTTAAGCAGACTTATAAATCAGGTATTCGTCTTTTAGGTCTCAAATGAAAAACAGACCTAAATCCTACAATAGCAGACATATCAATGAGAAGTAAATGTGTTTGACCAATGTAACTTGTGTTGGGAGAGGTGGGAGCGAAGAGAGAACAAAGAATCTTAGGAAAAAACACAAGAAAAAAGTGAACTCCGAGGAGAACCAACAGACATTTTGTTTGAATTGGCCAACAGCCCTTTCTGAGATGGGACTATGGGAGACACACACCATTCTGTATAGTGCATGTCCAAAGTGATCCAAATCCTCAACTCCTCTTACCTTACTCCATACCTCACCATTTCTATCCTTTGGGTATGTATCAGAATTAGATGAGATTCTGGGATGCAATTAGATGTTTCACATAAAACTTGGTAATAAATAGCAAAATGGCTAAATTTGCAAACTCTGTGGTATTAAATGGCTGCAACTAGAGTGGTCGGGTCAGTGTCAACATAACTAAGCTGTATCATGCAACCACTCAAAAGGACTATAAAGCTGCCCTGGAATCTTCATCCCCGCATGGCATAGGACCCTCTTTCTCAATGCCTGTGTTGGAATTCAATAGCTGTGTCTCTTTTCTTACTATCAGCTATCACTTACTCTTGGAAGCAATTAGCCTGCCTAAGTCATCTCTCCCTCTCCAATCACCTATAATCCTGGAAACCAATTTGTCAATATTAGTAAAATTATGAGCAATACCTTTCAAAGTACTTTGCTTTGTGAAAATTATTTTGATGCTCACAAAGCTTTCCACTTACTTTCTAGCTTTAGATTATTTTCCATATAGAAGCTTGGTGACAATCTAGTGACTGATGTGTTTAGTTTAGGTCTGGGAAATTTATATTTTATTTCCTTAATATACTAATGAGGTTCTCCAATTCTGTTCTTTTTTGAACAGCTGCTAAGCTTTCTCTTGTACTTTGTCTTTTGTTTTCTATATCCTGGAAGAGTTCCTGAACTGTTTTTCCCCCAATTCTTTTATTTCTGCCTACTGTACTTTTTATCCCTGCAACTTTCTTACCCTTCTTTGCTCTTTTCTTATAGCACCCATAGTTTGTTGTTGCTTTAATTAGACAGTAACTGTCTGAGGTTGTTAATGATCATTTCCTCAAAGTGTTTTTGTTCCCTGCACTTCCTATTTCCTTTGAGTTCCCTTTTCTCTGTTATGTCACTTTTATGCTGCACACTTTCCTAAAATGGCTAACAATCTTTGGTCATTCATGGTTAATAAGTTAACGAGAACAAGCTAATAATAAGCGCTCTGTCTCTGTGTGTGTGTGTGTGTGTGTGTGTGTGTGTGTGTGTTCAAGTTGGGTTTGTCAACTGGTGGACTTCAGGGTAATGACCAGTTGGCATTTTTGTTCAGGTATTCAAATGCCAGGGCCAAGGATCAAACTTGCAACTCAGGTATGTGCCCTTGACCCAGAATCAAACCAACAACCATTTGGTGTGTGGGCTGATGCTATACCCACTGAACACACCAGCCAGGGAATAATGAAATAAATTTGATTTGCAGTTTCAAGATCTATAAATCTGTATTTAAAGATAAACAAACGAGCACATTCTAAAGCTAAACACACACTTAGTTCTGATTTATTCCTGGCAGTTTTCCTTCATTAATTTCACTGCAAGTTCCAAGATACAAAAGAAAAACCAGGCAACCTTCAGTAGATAAGTCTATCCAGTGGTCTGTGTAACTAACATGAAGGGATAGCTTCATATACAAAAGAATTTATAAAGACACAAAAGATAAAAGTGAAACATTCATTAATCATAGAATAAATGATACTCTGAGGCATAAAAAGTCATTTGCAGTAAATAAGACTGCCATCATTGTTGAAGGCTGACATCAACAGGAAGATGCTGGAAACAACACTGGAAACTATAGAAGATGGAAACAACACTATGGAAACTGTGGAAGATCATGGGGGCATCTGACCTGTCTAAGGTGCAGCATACAGGAAAACGATATGTGGTCTGAGGTTAAGATCCTGTCACATAATACAGGGAAGTCGAGATACTCTAGAAAAACTAATGTGACGGACTCCTAAGATTTAGAGTACAGAAATAAGAGACAACAGAGTTTCTATAGTTGAGAAGACAACTACTAATTACTGGCCTTAATTATGATGCTCCTTTTTTTTTAATCCTCACCCAAGGATATTTTTTCCATCGATTTTCAGAGAGAGGGGAAGGGGGAGAGAGAGAGAGAGAGACATGATTGGTTGCCTCCTGCATATGCTCCGACGGGAATCAAGCCTGCAACAGAGGTGCATGCCCTTGACTGGGAACGGAACCTGGGACCCCTCGGCCAGCGGGCCAACACTCCAACCCTGAGCCAAACCAGCTTGGCCTTCGGGACTATTATAAACCACTCCAGATCATTTCTCCTCTTTTTGATTCCCTATTTCCCAAATAAATCCCAAAGTAGATGGCTAGACAGACAAATACGGTTGACACAACATAGCATTAATGATAACAAGCACAAACTTTGAAGATACAACACTTATGTCTGAATCCTTTGCCACTTACTAGTGTGACTATGAATGAGTTACTTTGGCCTCTCTCTGCTACCTTACAGGGTTGCTACAGGGTTTAAATGAGTTTGAAAAAGTGCTTAGAACAGCATTTTGAACTGAATAAATGTTTACAATGACACAAATGATGAAGATACACTGTCAAAAGTAAACATTTTTAAAACCCTACCCAAACACGTATTTGAGCCACTATTTTCCAGGTTTTAAAAATTTGAACTCATATAATCCTCCAAACAAATGAAGAAGAAAATATTTTTATTTCAATTTTACAAATAGGTTCTACAGAAAAACTTGAAACTTACTGAACTAACCTGACCATAAAGTAATCCAGTATGCAAATATACAACAGGCTGACTCTAACTCCTATAATTTGCTCTGCTTTGCAAAACTGTTTCCCTATAAGAGATTTAAAAAAAATTTTATGCAGCAGTTACTAGGAGTAAAACTCAGGGGGAAAAGTACATTACCCAGTCAAATGTTAAAAAAAAAAAAAAATTACTTAATACATAATATATATAAATTTATATATATATATAATCACTTCATATTTATATATATACAATCACTTGAAATTTATATACTTATATAAAAATCACTTAAAATATTAGAAATGAAGTAAAAATTTGATGAAGGAAAAAATACATTAACAATAATAGCAGGTGTCCTTTATTCATTTTCCCATGAGCTGGCACTTATCTGAACATTTAATACATGTGATTTCACTTAATCCTAGGAAATAATTACTCCTGTGATCTCTTTCTATGGATGAGGAAACAGGTTTTGGAGGTATTAAGTAACTTAGTAGAAGACATACAGCTGAAGAGAGGCAGAGCTGACATTCAGTTCCAGGTCTGTCTGATGCCAAAGCCTATTCCTTTAACTACTATTCATGCTGCTCTAAGGTTATACACATTTATTGAGCTCATATATTAAAACCCAAAATCTCCAATATGATATGTGGAAGAACACTCAAATTAAAAAACAACAACAGTGCTCTTATTCTGTAGCCTAACATACACAGTCTAATACAGCAAAGTTCATGCACTGTCAGGACTACTTAGTTAAGTGGTAGTGTCCCCCCAAGTCTTAGAATCAGAAGGCAAGAAACTGAAACTTTTCTGGAACACAAAAATGATTATTAAAATACTATTCCAGAACACTGTATATATATGTAAATCATGTTAGTGAGGTGAAATAAAGAAAACAGTATTTTCACTGTTAAAGGATGTTATTTCCCTACCCAGCCCACCTATAGTAGTATAGACTAATGCAGTTAAGTTCAGATTATTCTGACTATTGCTTTTCATTGACAAGAGCATGCCTAAATTGAGTGATACAATGGGTTTAGTAGATGCAGTAGTTCAAAACACACAAATTATATTTTAGACACTCATTACAAGTTCTTCATAAAGTTCACAAAATTACTTAGAATGAAAAAATAAGCTTTATATTACCCATAAAACGGAATTTAAAATTTCTAAATACATCAACTACCCGCTATACTGTCCATACCACTTTAACATTACAATTTTTCTGCCAAAATCTAGTTTCCTAAAATCTATGAAAAAAGGAAACTAAGCTACATGGCTTATGTTAGTCTTTCCCAAAATGTATTCTCAAGAATATAACAAGTGTTATTTTTAGAAATATTTTCACAATGCCATTTTTTAAAAATTGTGGCCTTTTTGTTTTAGATTTTTCGAATACATGGCTAATTTTTTTTTTTTTTTACCACAGTATCAAAAATTTTGGAAAATTCAGGAGTTGAAAGACGCTGAAAAATCACTACAGTTCTACCATTAAGGAGTTTTTTTCTTTAGATGAGTTTTGTTTTGTTTTCCAAAGCTGTGGTCATATTACCTATATAATTTTGTGTGAATTGTTTCTTCATTAGGCATTATATGATCAGATTCTCAAATTTATAAACTTTTCTGAGACATTATACTTAATGATGCATATTACTCGAGGAGAATGTACCACAGTTGACTCCCACATTTGTATATATACTAGAAGTGTGCAAGAACACATTTTACTATTCTCCCACAACTATTTTTATATACGGAAATGTACTTTTAATTGCTGTATTTAATGTTTTGTTTTGAGTTAATGTTCAGAGTTACTAATTAACACAGGTTTTTCCTCTTATGAGGTTGCTTTTACCTATTTATCTTTTGAAATCTTAGTGTTCCTTAGCAATTTATATTATTCCTTTATAAAAAATAGTAAGCCTTGGTCCTATTTATTGCAAAATTTTTCCGTTTGTTACTTGCTCTTTTAAGTTGTTCTTTTTTTCCTGTTAATTCTCAGAAATTTACATTTTCACCTAGTAAAATCTATTTTCCCTTTAATTTCTTACACACAAAATAAACATTGACTGTCTTCCATCATCTAGAAAAGAGATACTCATTTATATTTATATTTTCATACACTTTAATGGCTTGGTCTTTTTAAAAATAGATGTTATGCTTTAAAATTATATGTTCTTTTATTTCCAACATTCTTTCAATAAAATGTTCTTTCACTTCAAAAGTATGGTTAAAAAAGAAAACAATGCAAAATATATAGAATAACATAGTTTAAAAGTCAAATTCTTTTCTATCTACATACAAAAATATATATACAACAAAAAGTGCCCTTTCAGCTTACTTAGACATTTCCCCTCTTCCCCTCATGATCTCTTAGCTCCTTCCTGATAAGGAAAGAAAATTCTAGATCTGGAATATATTAACAGTAATTCTGAATGTCCATGAAGGAATATAGTACACTCATCAAAGATTCCCAGACTTACTTAACCACAGAATTCTTTACTCAAGAAATGACAGTTAAAAGACCTGGTAATTTTTGAAACACTATTTTTGAAATGCTGGCTTATTTTAACCACTTCAGACAACCGTAGTATTTTTGTAACTTCAAAGTATGCATATCAAATATTTAAAGAACGAAAGACAAACTTACTTGGGATACACTGGTTCATAAAGGTACTTGTCCCCTCTTGTAGTTGTAATATGAAAAAACAAGATGTAGCCATTTGCCGTCTGAAAGATAAATTTTATTTACCATGATTATAGGGTAAGGCTATGACTGTAACCCTAAATTTTATATATTCTTACTTCGAAAACACTTCACTTTTTAAAAATATATATATTTTTATTGATTTCAGAGAGAGGAAAGGAGAGGGAGAGAGAGAGATAGAAACATCAATGATGAGAGAGTCACTGATTAAGCCCACAACCTGGGCATGTGCCCTGACCAGGAATCGAACCCCGATCGCCTGCATCCTAGGTCGACGCTCAACCGCTGAGCCACGCCCGGCCAGGCAAAAACACTTCACTCTTAAGAACCCTCTTTAGAAAAGCTATAGTCCAATTATACAACTTTTATAAATGACTGTTTTAATATAACTCATCTGTTTAATAACCCATGAAAAGGGTTTTTATATTTTAAAAATATTTCTCACATCATTGAAATGAATAGTTCATATTACACTGCAGATATTAATATTTTAAAGTACTTGTATTATTGAATAATGGATGACTATTTTGCAAAACATACAGACCTTCTGGAACTCTGCAATAATATGGCAAACATTTTTTCCAAATTTTTAAAGCAACAATACCACCAAATAATAACAGTATGATGAAATTTTTGACTCTCCTCAAAGTTTGTAGAGTACAACTTCAGAATAACATAATTACATGTTTCAAAGCCAATGAACTGGCCTCTGACTTACTGTATAATATACCGTGACACAGAAGAAAAATAAAGCAAATCTATTTCCAAAATTTGAACATCAGCTTATTTAAGTTAATAAAATGTTTTAAAAATATAAATTGTATTAAACAGTTTCGTTCTATGATCATGACACATATTTGTGACTCGTGAAGCCCAAACAACCGTTTTACATTTATATAAATATGGAAAATACTTCACGTCGTTGTTTCCAACCACACGTTTTTGGGCAAAACGGAACAAAGCAGCAAATGCTCTGCCCAATCTACTTTATACTAACACTGAATTCTTACCATTTTAGGAGCAGGTGGGCTTCTGACCAAAGCAGAACCAAAGAAAAACAAAAAACTATTTAAGGTTTCAAATTTTTTCCCATTACTACTGGCTTTCTGTTTTTTTTACTTAAAGGAATGCCAGAGAAAACAATTTCTTTAGCAAAGCCAGGTGTTTTGTTTTGTTTTGTAAGCTATAAACTTTACTATTTCATAATGTATTCCACAACTCTAGTTCAACATATTGGGATGCAAAAGGAAAAAAGCTAAGATTTTTGCCAATAAGATTATTATTCTAATTTCTAATGTATAATATTATATTCCTCTAATGTGGAGAACATGGGAAGAACAGAAAAATGAATTCAATCAAACCATATCAAGTTTCATAGGCATCATGACCCCTATACAGATTAGCGATTGTTTAAAATTTGTAAACTCTACTGCTACCTTATATAGGCTAGAAAAGTAAAATAATATGGTCTAGTACTTAGAAAAATAACATACAAATGCTTTTCGGAATATCAGACCTCGAGGTCAAAAGTTCAACATTTCAGAATATCAAATGCTAATAATATACTCAGAATTTTAGCAAATGCTTAGAAGACTACAATGCCAGGGAAAATATAGCATCATTTTGCACCAGCATTTAGAAATTTTATATACAAGTATACTAGATGAAATTACAAGCAATAGTTCGATTTACTATTTTGGTATTCTGTATCAATCATCTTTACTAAGTATCTATGGCTTTGCACGCGTATTAAATGCTGTAACTTCCAGATCTCAATGACATTTATCATTGTTCTAAGACAGGACTGTTTACGAAAATGTCAATTTAAAAGTTTTGGTAATAAATAATCATCTTTAAAAAGTAGCATCTTTACTTAACTATACCAAATCTGTTATATGCAGTTATAATTGCCCTTCTCTTCCTAACCCAAAATACTGCAAATAAGCTTGTTTGCTTAATCTGTAGGCAACAGTTCCAATACCTTCTAGTATGTACACCCCACGCCCCCGCAAACTAAGTAAATGAAGAAGTAAAATAAAGAACCTCAGAGTTCTCTTTCCTGTATCATCCTGTATCTTTATTATTTTTTTCTTTCTCCAAGTAATACTACTAGATTATGTGGCCTTAATCAGAGGCCCAACAATTTCTGTAGGTAACTTAAATGGCAAGTCTTCATGTCCCTTTCTTTTGTGTTCTCATGACTTAGGGTCATAGAAATATAAGGATAAAGGCAATAAAGGCTATAAAGAGGACAAGAGGAGGAAATCACTACTTAAACAGCAGATGGAACAGGCAGACATGTCTGTATTAATGAAATCTGGAGGCTGTGGTGGTGGTTGATGGTATTACTATTAATTGCTTGTTTGTTGTGCTTTGTTTAGCATTTGGGAAGTTATCCCTTGCTACCCCAAGTTAAATTATTTTATGATTGATGCATGACATATATTATAAATAGTAATTTTCTGTAAACAGGAAAATTTTAAATCCAACTGTGTCATAAGGCAAATCAATTGTTGAATATAACTAAAGCCTAAGTTATAGGCAGCAATCCCAATACCTTCCTCTACCATTATCCAGTGCTTCTACCTCACATGAATTCACTAGGTACTTCAGAACTCCAACTCATAGTGAATTTCTTCCCTAGGATATACCCTTTTTATTATGAAGACTAGAACAGATTAAGCATCTGGCTCCAATAACCTAAATGATATATCACAAAGATTTCTATAATGATTTTATAATAATTTATAAGGACTTCATTTAGACATTTATTTTCTACCCCAAATACTGTCATGCCAGACTTCAAAATAAGGCTGAAATAATGAACTAGCACTTTTAAACTCTTTACACTGGTTTGTAAATGGTATTTTTTGTTTTTAGCTTTCTTTCTTTATTATACATGTTCAAATACATAAAATTAATCACCCCAAAATCATATCACTAAGATAATGATCTAACATTTTTGTACAATCTTTCAGATTTTGTGAGACAGGCTAGTAAGCCAGGATGAGCCAAACAGAGAAACTGAGACAGTTTATGGAGACAAGAGCAAAATTCAGAGATGCAGGAGACTCACACAATAATCACTTCCGAAACTGAGTTTTGTCACACCAAGATGAAGGGAAACAATGAGATGAATGGGTACTGTGTACAGTATTGCACTGCTCTGCAACTTACTATGTTCCACTCCATTAGAATACTCTGCTCTCAGCTGTTATTTGGTGACTCAATACCTCAACATGCTGGGAGAAAAAAAATCACAATGAAACCACAGGAATTCTCAAGTAAACTGACATCTTTCCCTTATTCCCAAGTAAATTATGTTCTAATTCATGTTACAGTAACTCTCAGGTTGCAGCAGAACAGACTATGTTTCCATTAGCTGGTTGTGAAGGGAATTATTAAAGGCAGCAGTGGGAAATAGAGTATACTAGGCTAAGCAGTTTGGGACACATTTTGTATGCAATGGGAAGCCAATGAAAGGTTTGAAAATAATAATAACATAAGAGCTATGCATAATTAAGATGCACTTCAAGTAGAGAAAAATACTAGCTAAAAGTTTTCACTTCTAAGCAATCTAGACAAAATATAAAAAGGCCTCTACTAAGGTCATGGCAATGAGAATAAAGAGGATGACAGGAAACCAGATACTGGACTTCGCAGCACACTGTTGACTAGACAGGATGCAGAATCAAAGGGCCCCAGGGTTTTTTTCCTACTATAAGCAAGATTACCATGAAAATACTTACACATATGCCTAAATACACTAGTGCTGCCCTGGCCAGTGTGGTTCAGTTGGTCGGGGTATCGTCCATACACCAAAAGCTGGCGGGTTCGATTCCCAGTCAGCGCACATACCTAGGGTGTAGGTTTGATCCCCAGGAGGTGTGCATACAGGAGGCAACCGACTGATGTTTCTAGATCACATCAGTGTTTCTCTCTTCCTCTCTCAAATCAAATAGAACAAAATAAAAATCTATCAATCAATAAATAAATACACTGGTGCTACTATTTGTCAGATATAATCATAGAGATGAGAACAGTACTTAAAATTGATGTTAATGCTCCTTGTGCCTGGATATCTATTCATTGTCTGATATTTAGAAAAACTAGGAATAACTATGGCCTGGTATATTTACAAAAATGATACTCTACACCTGACATTTAGAGAAAACACTCTCCCAAACACTATGAACCAATTCTTAAAATGGTAAAGGATTTTCTTTCCACACCCCATTAAAAAAAGTGTCAGTGAGATTTCTTTTTAAGGTACAAGTTGATAAGGAGGTGACCGTGGCTCTGTTGATGATACAGAAATAGAATTTTGGATATAACTGACATGTCAGAGCACACGATGATGATACTTGGGTGGGGCAGGTCAGACAGTAAGAGACTCACACGGGGACGGCTGCTTCGGCATGACTTAACCATCTGCAGAGAGTCAGGCTGTATTGCTCTGCAGATCATACAACTGTATACCCTTGCCTACATTCTATTAATGACTTTTTATAAAAGCAAGTTCCAAAGCATCTCCTAGATTCAGCTTTCTTCCACAAGCTAATAGGATTAAACCACCATGCTAACAGTGAAAAGACAGTAAAGCAGAATTATTAAGACTCTGGAACTCTAGAACCAGGCTTCATGGGTTAGAATTCCATCATCAATAATGTAATCTTAGGTACATAGCAGCTATGTAATCAGGGGCAGGTTATTTAATCTCTCTACCTTTCCTCAAATGTATGATAAGAATAGTAAAATTACTTAATTTAGAGGAATTTTATGAAGAACACATTAATTTTAATATACATAAAGCACTTACAATCGTTCCTAGTAGACATCCAAAAAATTTACTGCCATAATAACTTTGAATCCTCAAGTAAATAGTTAATTCATAATAAATATATTCTATGTATGAGGCTAATAAAATGTACAATGCATTAGAGGAAAAGGACCCCTGGAATCAGTAAAGCTTCAAAGCCAATTACACTTTGGTTACCGGGAAAGTTCACTTATCCAGTACCCA